CCAAATTTTTTTTTCGAATACGAAATTAAATTACAATACACAAAAAAAATAGTTTATTTTTTTCTTTAAACTAAGGAATGAAAGAAAAAAACAAAATAAGAATAAGAAACTCAAATAATTATAATAAAAGAAGTCAAAAAATAATTTATGTATGAAAAAAATTAAAATATACCTTGAACTTTGATAGAAAAATGATATATACCCCTAAATAATTTTTTTAAAAAAATTAGAAGTAATAAATATAATTTTTAAACTAATTTTTAACTTCTGTTAAATGAAGGGTATATGTGAGCCGTTTGTATAACAGTAAGGGCATATATGAGCCATTTTTATAATGAAAATATATCAGATCCAAATGATAAAATTAAGAAATATATCATACACTTTTAAAAAGAATCTCATCTTAGTATTTTTGAGATGCTCTCTCTTTAGCCTTTACAAAAGAAGCCCAAAGGAATTAATTTTTTTTTTGTAAAGTACAAAAATTAACTCTCCTTTTCTAATCTATGCCTTCTCTTAAGCTAAGATTCAATTTTTCAGGTTTCCATCACTGCTGCAACTGCTGCTCCACTCCCAAAATCCCTTCTTTCACTTCATTTCAGGTAACCCATTTTGTTCTTTTTTACTGAGTAATTTTTTTTTTTTGAATTGGGTGGGGAAGTTCAGATAGTCAATTAACTGTGCTATTAAGATTTTAGGGATGAAAGTTTAATGGGTGTGTTTTGATTTTTGTGATGATTTAGTTTCGATTAGAAGTACTATTGTTTATGTTATAATTTGTTTATCTGATTTGGATGCACGAAATTTAAGGAAGTAAAAGAAAATGCTGTATCTTGTGGTTTTAAATATGTCAGTTATAAAGTTAGAATTAAAGAGTTACTAGAAAAAATGAATGATGGATTGTTTGTTGAAACGGATTGAAAAAGGAAAGTTATACAAATAAATTGAAGTTGAATGAGTAGTTGATAAGTCATGTGAAGTGCGGTAAATAGTTATGAATTTGAATAAAAGTGTTGAAATGAACAGTAAGTGTACACTTTTTAGTTAATGGCGGTGTTGTGGGTGGTAATTTTGCGGAGATGGTGTTTGATAGTAGAGCGCTAATGGTTGTGAATGATGACGGTGGTTGGGGATATATAGTGATGATTGATGGTGGTGATTGTTGGTAGCGGTGAGCGGTTGTTATTGTTATAGTGGTTGGTGGTGATGATTGTAAATAGTGGCGAGTCGATGACTAATTGTAGTGATTGATAATGGTGATAGTTGATAATCGTTGACCACGCCCGGTGGTAGTAGTTGATAATGATAGCTTTGAACGGATGGAATTTGTGAAGTATCATTTTTGTAGAAATGTTTAAATGGACGACAACAACAACATATACCCAGTATAATTCACAAGTAGGATTTGAAAATGGTAAAAAATGTACGTAGACTTTACTTCTGCCGTTATGAGGTAGAGATGCCTTTGTACGTAAAGAGGCCTTCGTGGGGAGCAGAGAGGAGATATCTCTTAATGATACAAATCTTAATCATTCAGATATATTCAGACCTATTAAGTGGATGTCACATAACAAAAACGAGCAAACGAACTAATTGACTGAGATTTCTTTGTATTGTTTCAGAGTGAAGCTAATATTAAATCAACCATGGATCGGCTAACCAGTGCAGCACGTCTCATGATAGTTTCAGATCTTGACTATACAATGGTGGGTTGTTGTAGTTTAGGTTGCTCGGATTCTCCAAAAATTTTGCCGCACCCATGTTTGATCCTCCAAAAATGCACTGCTTTTGGAGAATCCGACATGCTCCTGGTGGCTTTTTTGAACCTTTTCTTCATTATGTTGCTGTAACTTGCATGAGACTTTCTTTACAGATTGATCATCATGATCCCGAGAACCTCTCTCTGCTTAGGTTCAATGCTTTATGGGAAGCCAATTACCGCGAAAACTCCTTGTTAGTGTTCTCAACTGGGAGATCGCCAACACTTTATAAGGAGTTGAGAAAAGAGAAGCCCATGCTAACTCCAGATATTACCATTATGTCTGTCGGGACTGAAATAACATATGGGAACTCTATGTTGCCAGATGATGGTTGGGAAGCATTTTTAAATGACAAATGGGATCGGAAAATAGTGACAGAGGAAACGAAAAAATTTACTGAACTCACACTTCAGGTACATACAGATGTTTACATCATTTTATGTTGAGATAATGATCAAAAACACACCTTGAACTATCATTTTTTTTTTGTGAGTTTCACACCTGAACAATCACCGTCTATGTATTAAAAAACTCACCTAGTTGAGTAGATGGTGATAGTTCAGGTAGGAAAATGAAACAACAACTAACAGCTGATAGTTAGTCTAATCAGCTCCGAGGTGTGTTTTAAATTTTAATACATAGATGATGATAGTTTAGGTAGAAAAAAGGAACAACTGGTATTGGGGTGTGAAACTCGTGAAAAGTGATAGTTTAGATGTGTTTTTCACCAATAACTCATTTTGATATTCGGTGTAAAACCAGTTTGTATGTTGAATATTGTTATCGTAATTGATGTCTCATATATAAACTTCTTTACACACTTCAGTCAGAAACGGAGCAACGACCTCACAAGGTCAGTTTCTACGTTCCAAAAGACAAGGCTCAAGATATAATGAAAACTCTTTCCAAACGCTTGGAAGAACGTGGGGTACGATGCGACAATAGCAAAATGATGGCATGTCTTTCTTGTCAATGCTGCAGTGAGCAAAACTTTGATAAGGTTTCGATTTCTTTTTGTTCTGATATTTAATGTTTGTATTTTTGTGATCAGCTTGATGTCAAATTAATTTACAGTGGAGGGATGGCTTTAGATATTTTGCCGCAAGGTGCTGGCAAAGGACAAGCACTCGTGTATTTGCTGAAGAAATTAAAGAGTGAGGGGAAATTACCAAACAACACGCTTGTCTGTGGTGACTCTGGAAATGATGCTGAGCTTTTCAGCATCCCGGATGTTTACGGTGTGATGGTTAGTGGCTAATTACTATCTGTTGATTCCTTGTACCTCGATTATCGTATTGTTTTATTGTTCTGTTTTGCTACTATCTGTTGTTTTGTTATGATCTGTTGATTCTTGTACTCCCGTTGCTTCTTTTTCTAGCCTAGTTTGGACTGTTTTTCCTTGAGCCGAGGGTCTATCGGAAACAATCTCCCTACCTCTGACGTTACCGATATGAGACTCCATGAGTTTGTTGTTGTTTTGAGTTCAGAATTGCTCTAAAATTGTATATTCACTTTGCAGGTATCGAATGCACAGGAGGAATTATTACAATGGCATGCTGCAAATGCGAAAGATAATCCGAAAGTAATTCATGCAACAGAGAGATGTGCTGCGGGTATAATACAAGCCATTGGGCGTTTCAACCTGGGACCAAGTACCTCTCCTAGAGACGTTACCGATATGTCAGACAGTAAGATGGAGAATTTTGTTCCTGCTTATGAATTCGTCAAATTTTACCTGTTTTTCGAGAAATGGAGGCGTGGAGAGATAGAGAATTCTGACCTTTACTTGTCGAACCTGAAAGCAGTTTGTGTACGTACCCTATACCTACCGACTACTGTTGTGTTGTTGTCTTGGTTGTTTCGAAATGCCTTTTTATTCACTTGAAAATCCAAATTTGCCAACTCTTTTTGTTGCTGCAGAGACCATCTGGTACTTTTGTGCACCCGTCTGGAGTTGAGAAATCTCTTGAGGAATGCGTAAATACATTGAAGAAGTGTCATGGCGACAAAAAGGGTAAACAATATCGAATTTGGGTTGATCAAGTCTTACCTACACGGGTTGGTTCAGATTCATGGCTAGTAAGTTTCAAGAAATGGGAGCTTTGCGGTAAGTGTCTTTTGTCTCGTAAGACTTACTTCTTCTTTTCTAGTCTCTTCTGACTTGATTTTATAGCATCAGTTCCTGTAGCCTTCAAAACAACAACAACAACAACATACCCAATGTAGTCCTACGAAATGGGGTCTAGGAAAGGTAGAGTGTACGTAGACCTTACCCCTACCTCAGAGGTCGAGAGACTGTTTCTGATATACCCTTGGCTTAAAGGAAAAACAATCCAAAGTTATCCTGAACAAGAAGTAATAGTAGAACAAGAAACAACAGATAATAACAAAAACAAGAAGATAATCGTTTCATTCATATGACAGATTCTGTGCCCCAAATTACTTAGACTAATGAAACTATGATCATATTTAACCAAAGCGATTATGGAAATGACTTATTTTCTGCGAGAATGATCCAATTACTAAGATGATTTACATCTCCTTTCTCTTCGACTCTTGCTATGTTTATTGTAATATCTTAAAATACGTTGTTTCTTACAGGTGAAGAGAGACAATGTTGTATAACTACAGTCTTATTAAGCTCAAAGGTGAAGTTTATTGAAGGATCGTTGCAATTTTTGTTGTCCTACAATCCAAAGCCTGTTATAATTTGCTTTTTCGCTTCCAGAATGTGACTGTTGCAGACGGGCTCAATTGGACACACGTGCATCAGACTTGGCTGCAGGGCGTGGAGTCAGCAAGTGACTCCACGACCTGGTTCTTCTAGGTTTGACTCTGGAAATCTGGCCTTTTACACAAATGCACATTGTCCCTCTTTTATAAGTATTGCTCTTCTTTTCGACAGTTGTAGTTGTGAAGTTTATCCTTAGAGAACGTCAGTTGTAGGCTAAATTTTCTAAATGTGAGTTTTGGTTTGATTCGGTGACATTTTTGGGACTCGTGGTCTCGAGAGAAGGAATTCGAGTTTCTCTTTGTAACTATGCTCTATGATTTGGTGTCACACCAAAAGGAATTCTTGTTCATACTGAAAAATTGCATATAATCATCTCTACATTCTCTTCTTTTAGATTTATTTCATGGAAGAGTCTCTTTAAACTTAAGTGGAATCTTCGAGGTCTTTCGAGATAACTTAATTCAATTGCCTGATATCGAGAGACAAATGAACGACTTGAATAGAATTTAGATAGGTTAAAATGGTGAAGTTAGGTCAATGTTATAGTTAGTACATGTTATATATCTATAATATCATTTGACATTTTAAATTCCTTTGTTAGAACTTATTACATAATTCACTAAATTTATGTCACCAATAAAAAGTGAATAAACTACTTTTGGTTATTATTTATATATATATTTAAAAAATAAAAAAAATGTAAATATTTGAGTATGTTATAAAGAGGTAACATAAAAAGTTTATCACAGAAAGAGAAAATATAACACAAAAAAAGTTCATTTCAAAGAAAAAGTTATTCGTTAATTCTAGATTGTTATATAGAGATCTGATCTCATTCTATTTATTTTGCGTATCTTATTTAAAAAATTAAATCTTATAATCTTAAATATGGACACATGAGATATAATCATTGAAGAGTTTATTGAATATACAAAAATGATATTTTTGAACAAAATCAAAAGAAAAATACAACATATAAATTAAAAATATTGCTTTTTTTCCCTTCTCATGTTGTCCACCAAGACAATACAAAATACATCGCAAGTGTAAGAAATTATTAGTGCCACCTTATTTCTCAAGCTAAGATTACAAATCTCATCTTGGTAAATATTTTTAGATGATCGATCGATCGATGTATATAACTTTTAAAACACTAAACTTGAATACTATAATGTTTATTAATTTTTATAGTATTCTTTAGAAACTTTGCTAAGACAATCACTAGCAATTGCTTTTGCCCACCTATCAAATTGTTCAAAGGCAGGCTCATTATCTTTTGTATCAACAATACAATCACGACAAGTGTCAAGGTATGTATATGATGCACCAATATCCATATTTGCTTTGTAATAATTTAGTTCTTTAACATCTTGTGTTGCCTTTTTCATTGAATCAATTGCATCTTCATACACCTCTTTGCATGTTTTAAAACAATCTTTTTTGTAATGATCTATTGGTGCACTTGAAGCCAATCTTTTATCAATTACATTCTTGATAAAATCTTGTGTCTTGGCCATTGTGCTAACCAATGACGCCTTAACAAATGCCGGTACGTTTTGACTTACAGCAACGACCTTTGGTGCTGGAAGTTTGGGTTTTGGAATGATAGGAGTTTTTGGAGTAATTGGAGTAGAAAGAGCTACTTTTAATGTATAATCAAATGCATTTGATGGAATTGTGAGGAAGAAGGAAATTGCAATAACAAGAAATGTTATTTTTGTTAGAGGAGCCATTGTTTTTTATTCCTCTTTTTTTTTTTTATTGTTGTTTTATTGGAGAGGAGAAAAAACAATGGAGATAATCAAATATCATATGATTATGAAGAAAGTAAGGGATGTATTTATACAAAAAAATTAATAAAAAATTGGTTTTTGTCTTTTGTGGTTATGCTTAAAAATAGATTGTTATTAAGTATATATGGTGATTACTATTAGCACCTCTCTTTTTTTAGTTTATTGTTAGAAGATGGTTGTTTTTAGGCTACGTCGAGCTGATAAATGAACGGATTGAAATAGAGAATTAATATATATATTGTTATGGACTATAGTAGATGAGGTTTTTTGGTGCATGTTATGGTGTTAAATAGATGGATTAAAATTTGGGCGACTTAAAATAGAGAGTTATAAAATGGATATTTTCTTAAATGTATATGGTAATTAGTATAATTTGTAACCTTTATTTAACATATATTAATTTATTTAGTTTATTGTCACAATCCGAGCCTATATCCAGTTGAGACATGGTGCTTTGAATTACCGGTGTTCCCAAACTAATCCTTTGTATAGCATATCAAAGCATACCGTAACGAAACTAAAGTGAATGTTTTTTCTTAGTGTACGTTGAGGTGTCAAATGGACAGATTGAAATTTGAGCGGGTTAGAATATAAAGTTAATAAGTGAATATTTTCTAAATATATATTGGAATAATTACTTAATAGGCTTCAATTTCACAATGAATTTAGCCCCTCTCTTTCTAGTTTATTGTTAGAAATAAGTAGAGGCGAATTTAGAATTTAAATTTTATAGGATTAATCTATAATATTTTTGGTTTTGAACTCGTTGTATATTTAAAACCATATGTTCAAACCTACCTTCTATTACAGCTTCAGTAAATTTTTATCCATAAAACTTATGCTTCGCGTTAAAAATATTGAGTTCATATATATGAACCCGCAACTTATATGTTGCATCCTCCACTGGTTAGAAAACGACTCTTCTTTGCGCCTATTGGGGTGTGAAATGAGCATATTAGACTGAACTTGATAAATTTGGACGGGTCAAAAGGACTAACTTGATAAATAATGGACGCAGATCATTAATGATTAATTGCATAAATAGAATTCACGGATGATTTTGAACTTTTGTCCTAACTTAAAATTATTCACTAGTGAAATGCAGGCAATAGAATCAGCCGATAGGCGCAGGCAAGCGTAGCGAATCACATAGATAAGCCCCTACCTGCCAGCGCGCGGATGGATAGGGCGGGCGAAGCGCGAAGGGGATGGATGTCTGAGCGGTTGAAAGAGTCGGTCTTGAAAACCGAAGTATTTTTAGAAATTTTTACTATCCATCAGACATAAGTTCTTGTAATAACGTGTACGATTATGTTGCTTCTTCTCAGCCCAATAATTAGTTGTGTGGCATCCATGTAATTAAGTATCGACATTGCACCGAGGCTGGTTCATAACACTTGGTGATCTCAGTTGGCAAGTAAATGCTCCAACTTTGAGTATGCACATCTAGACATATTTATTGTGCCTATTGAACAGTACTCGAACTTACAAAATGACCATCTAAATACCGCCAAAATTTATGCCACGTCAGTCTTGGGTGACCACGAGACACAATGGTGACAAATTGGAATATTTTAAGTACGTTCAAAGTTGACATATTATCTTAAAATAAGTTTGTGCGTTTATTTATGTATTTCTGGATATAAAACGCGAAACGATGCACATTTTGAAGGGAAAAAAAATGTACGTACGCATGCATGCATGAAAGTGAACTTTACAAAAATTAAACAATCCATTTTACCACCTTACATTTCCTTAATTTTTTTTCCCCCAAATATTTTTCCTTAATATTTCCCCTAATTTCTCTTAATCCCTAATTTATTTTAAATTTTTTTTTTCGAATTTTGAGGCTGATTTTTAGACTAAGCTCAATTCTCTTTTTGTTTTCTTCAAAAAAAGAAAAAATCAAAAAAAAAGAAAAAAGAACTCATCTTTATTGATGAATTCTTGAATTTCAGATTCCAAAAGGAATCTGAAATTTAGGGTTCTTCAATTTAGAGAAAGTTTTTAACATTTGTTGAGGCAAAAAAATTATAGATTCTTGAAAGGGGTTTTTGGGAATTAAAGAGAAAATGTTAGGATTTTGATTATAAGAAAAAAAAAAATCTTTAATTTAGGGTTCTTGAATATATATATTTTTGGGGGCAATTTTTTTTTTTCCTTTCTTGAATTTAGGGGTAGTATTAAATTTTTGGGGTTAAAAGATTATAGGTTTTTGAATTTTTTTTTTAAAAAAAAAAATTGAAAGAGAAAAAAAAATCTTGAATTTAGTATTGGGGGTAAAAGATTATAGGTTCTTGAAAGTATTTTATTTCTTGAATTTAACTTTTTGTGGGGTAAAAGATTATAGATTTGTTGAAAGGGGTTATTTTTTTGGGGGAATTAATGAGAAAATGTAAGGATTTGATTGAAAGAACAAGAACAAGAATCGGGGTCTGGAGTCTGAAGAGGGTAGAGTGTATGTATACAGAGTCGTAGACGTTAACACTACCTCTCGACGAGGTAGAAAAAGTATTTGATTGTAAGAAAATGGGGAATACATGTATAGGACCCAAATTGGGTAACAATGGGTTCTTGCAATCAGTAACAGCAGCTGTTTGGAAAACAAGACAACAACAACATTTACCTCTTGCAAATAAAGGGGACTCAAATTCCCATAAAACTCAAGAACATTCATCGGTTGGTTCGTCGTTGAATGTAGATGGAAATGATGCTAATAGATTTGGTGGTACTCAGAGTACTCCACCCCCACACCTTAAGATTAGTGGAAATGATACTAATGAGAAGAACTCGTCGCCAAACGTTAGTAATAAGCCAGTGGAAGGAGTGAAACAGAATAAACCTAGTCATGTTAAGCGAGTATCGAGCATTGGGCTTAAAATCGACTCTGTTTTGGGAAGAAAAACTGGTAATTTGAAGGAGATTTATAGTTTAGGGAGGAAGCTTGGACAAGGTCAATTCGGGACTACGTATTTATGTGTGGATAAGGTATAGTTGAACGCTGTTAGTATCGTTTATCCTTCTGTACTCGTAGTCGTAGTTTGTTCATTTGATTTCTAACACTATATTTTGTTGTTGTTACTGTTCGTTTAGTATGCTTTGTCATGTCTTGTGTAGTATTTTGTCTTAGTTTCTTCACTCCCGAACAACCTCTCTACCTCCCACGGTAGGGGTAAGGTCTGCGTACACACTACCATCCCGAGACTTCACTTGTGGGACTACACTCGGTATGTTGTTGTAATTAGTTGTTTAGTTGCAAAGAGGAATCTAATCCTTGATTCACTCGATTATTCAGTTTCTTACCGCTTGTTTGGATGGTTGTTACCTATTGCATCATATTCATTCAAATTGCTGAATGTGTGGCATTATATAACGACGGAAAATGATACAATCTCTCGGTAAAAAAATCGTAACAGGTACATGGAAGGGAAATGGCGTGTAAGTCCATTGCTAAAAGGAAGTTGAATACCGAGGAGGATGTGGAGGATGTAAGAAGGGAGATTCAGATTATGCACCATTTGGCAGGGCATCCTAGTGTGGTACAAATAGTAGGGGCTTATGAGGATGCTGTTGAAGTACATGTCGTGATGGAGCTTTGTGCAGGTGGGGAGCTTTTCGACAGGATTTTACAGAGAGGACATTACAGTGAGAAGAAGGCAGCTGAACTCGCTAGGGTAATTGTAGGTGTCGTGGAAGCATGTCATTCCATGGGTGTCATGCATAGGGACCTCAAACCCGAAAACTTTCTTTTTATCAACCAGGATGAAGATTCGCACTTGAAGACAATCGACTTTGGGTTATCGGTATTCTTCAAGCCAGGTAGTCTACTTGCAAACATTTTTCTTTTAAAAGGTGTCGATCTAGCTTATTGGTTTTATCATCTATTCGGCTTAGTTGCGTGGATTCTTCCTTTTTGATGCCGCACCCGTCTCAGATTCTTCAAACATACACTACTTTTGGCGAATCCGACACGCACTTGTTGACATTTTTGAAGAGTCCGAGCAACATAGATATTCAGTACTTCCTGGAAATGTTATGATCTCATTTATGTCAACAAAGCAAAAGCAATATTGTGTAGATATGCTTTAGATCCCACGAATTTTAGATCTGCATACTCGTATCTGTATCCTAAAATCTTAAAATTTAGATCATGAAGGATCCGACCTCTAGATTTACACCCATATTAGACACCTGCACCCAAGTCCGAGCGACTTAGATAAGGAACATGTTTTTCTTTTCTTTGTTTGTTTCACATTAAGCTTATTTTATAATGGATGTTTGTCGAATCCTTGTTGTAGGCCGTGCGTTGTTCTTCTTTTAGAGTAATTATCCGTCTATTTTTTCTAGCTGTTTCATTAGCTGACACCTGATCAAGAAAAAAAGTTCTGTGCCCCCAGGTGAAATCTTCACTGATGTTGTCGGAAGCCCTTATTATGTTGCTCCGGAAGTGTTGCGTAAGCATTATGGTTCAGAATGTGATATATGGAGTGCTGGAGTGATCATTTACATTTTACTAAGTGGAGTTCCCCCCTTTTGGGAAGGTCCGATCTCGTGAATCTCATCCTTATTGATTTAATTATATCATTCTCGGAGCTAACATGATCATGTCCATCTTACATGTATCGTGTTGTTATGAATCAGAGACGGAGCAAGGAATATTTGAACAGGTTTTAAGAGGGGAACTTGACTTTGTATCAGAACCTTGGCCATCTATATCAGAAAGTGCAAAAGATCTTGTCAGAAAGATGCTCGTGAGAGATCCGAAAAAGCGGCTAACAGCTCATGAAGTCCTTTGTAAGATACAATTTTCATTTATGCTCGTAGCATCGTCATGTTTCATTAATCCTTGACTGTGATACTTATCGTCCTTTCTCCTTTGTATAATATGATCGTAGAGTCTGCATTTCATTCTTGGAATAGAACCGTGGTAAAACTTATCCGTAATGTGCCAAATATCTGCATTTTATATCAGGTCACCCATGGGTCCGTGTTGGCGGTGTAGCTCCAGATAAGCCTCTTGATTCCGCTGTTCTGACTCGTCTCAATCAATTTTCTGCAATGAACAAATTAAAAAAGATAGCAGTTAGAGTAAGTTATTCTAATTCGTAGGACCTTTACACTTTGTTGCTCGGACTAATCTCCAAAGATGTTGCCTCACCGTGTTAGTTCCTCCAAATATGCACCTCGTGGCAGCTTTTAAGAGTCCGAACAACATAGCCTTTGAACACTGTGATCCTCTAACTAATATTTTTGTCGGTGACCAATCCCTCCGCTATTTATAGGTTATTGCTGAAAGCCTGTCTGCAGAGGAAATTGCAGGACTCAAGGAAATGTTCAAAATGATAGATACCGATAATAGTGGAAATATTACGTTGGAGGAACTAAAGAAAGGTTTGGAACGAGTAGGTGCGGATCTGAAGGATTCAGAAATAACTAGTTTAATGCAAGCGGTAAGTAAATAATTTCTCTATTTTGTCTACGAACTTCTATTCCTTGCATGAAAAAGATGATGTTACGATAAATCTTAGATGCCTTGAAATAGCATTTACACGAGTTAGGAATCAGTATTCGAGATCTTGAGGTATTGCTAGAGTTAGGAATCGAATCTATGTCATAACACGAGGAGAACTTAAGCTGTAGACTCGACCAACGCCCCAACAAACCTTTGTGTATCAGGGTGCCTAATCAAGTACATATTCGTTCTTCAAGATATATACACGTATCATTGAGACATAATCTAATTGATTTGAAATGTGTTTTCTCTAACAGTTTAAGCTTTTTGATGAGATGGTCGGGGTTTGATGCACTCTCAAACGAACTTCTTTGTGCAATTGCAGGCAGATACTGATAATAGTGGTACCATTGACTACGGCGAGTTTATAGCAGCTATGCTCCATCTAAATAAAATTCAGAAGGAAGATCACATGTATGCTGCTTTTTCTTATTTCGATCAAGATGGTAGCGGGTACATCACAAAGGACGAGCTCCAACAAGCTTGTGAGAAGTTCGGGATGAGCAATATCCCCATCGAAGAACTTATGCGTGAAGTTGATCAAGACAATGTACGTCCCTCTGTCCCCTTTCTTTGAACTTCTTCTAATATCTTTGCAGAATCGTGCAACGTTAAGCCTAGGGATTAACGTGGTAGTTCTTCAGATATCGTTGCTCAAACTCAAACTTAATGTACCCTTATCGATATTTCAGGATGGACGCATTGATTACAATGAGTTTGTAGCAATGATGCAAGACACCGGTCTTGGCGAGCTGGGGAGCAGAAGGAGGTAAGTGTTGGTATTTTAGAGACGTTAAAAGCCTCGATAAAATCATACTACGCGTACATCTCTACGTATCCGTGTTCATAAGTACATCAACATGAGAATGTTTCACTGTATATATCATACATACATGTAAAGATTAGTCAGGCAATTGGAGAGGGGAAGGCTAGTTTTTTCTTGCTTATTAGCATTACCATTTTGTATCTTTTTATTTGTATATTTCTCCTCTTTTTTTTTTTTCATTTCTTTGTAAAATTATTTTTCATAACTTCACTTATTTAGATTTATAAAACATTTCGACTTTGAACACTTTGATTATTTAAACATCTTCAAAATTTGTGTGTCACATCAACGTTGAGTATCCACGAGACATACTGAGAATGAGGTTGAGTGTTAAGTTGCTAGTGATCTAATTGAGGTGTTTAGATGTACACTCTCCAACTTTTTTTTTCTTTTTTAACCTTTTTCCATATTAGCATTTGTATATCTACAACTCTATTGAATCTTGTACAACTTTTTCCCACTATAAAGGGCCCAATGCACATGAAACCTAACCTAACTCACTACCTTTTGTTTTTTTCAAGCACAACTACCCCTTAACTTTCCAAAACTAACAATTCACGAAAGATTGTGATGGAATGAACATGATTTTTTCTTTAGTAATTAAAGATTTCGCGTCCAACTCCTAAGATATAGTAAACATATGTTATCGGAACACATGTTAAAAAAAGAAACTATCTCACACATGTTAGGATATTCATTAGAATATGATTCGTTAATAATATTTTCGACAGATATTTGATCGATTTTTTCAGAAATTTCTTCACTTCTAGTAGTGGCTTACCTCTTTAATGTATGTTATGTAACACAAATTTAAATTAGATACGACCTCAAAATCGAATATCGAACACTAGATAAAAACACACACAAAAAAAAACTCACATATTTTTTTTTTTGTGTTCATCCTTTGTTAGTATTTATATACACAAAAGAAGGAATAAGACAATAATTAGCCCTATATTGTATTTACCTTTTTCTTGATATAGCACATCAAAGCTCAATAAGTAATAAATATTTATTTGTTTTTTGTAAATTTTAACTTTGGTATTTAAGGCAACTCTTTTTTTTTGTTTGACCATTTTAGTGATTAATGTGTAATGTCCATTTCATTGAAGCCAATTAAGCCACTATTTCTTAGGTGATAGTTATCATAGTTTGAAAAAATAGTTCTCTTCTTTCTTGATTGCCTACTTTCACTTACCTGATAATTGCGGAGTCAGAAATATTATTTATAGAGATCAAAATATATATAAAAAAAAGTAGACAAATAAAAAATAAAATAAGTTGACATATCTCTACATAAAATTTAAAAATTTAACCTAACTAAACTATATAATTTCTAGTTTTTTTAATCGAATAACTTGGGAGGTAAAGAGTGTTGTGGGAAGAAATAGGTTTTACTATACCTAAACAATAACAATTGACATAATGTTTCTTTTAATTCAAGTATTAAAACATATATTTATGTATATAATTATCATAGGGTATGGTAAAATGGTAAAAAGAAAATTCTCTTCTAATCAGAATTCTTGCGTTTAAACGTTGAAAATGAAGTCATTTCGATAGAGATCAACGAAATACTCCTATGATAAATTTTCTACGATGTGCATTTGAATTAATCGAGTCAATGTGTTTCACATAATTTTGATTATAAGTGATTTGATGCCATTGAAATACATTTTTAATTACTTGATATATGATTTTCCATTTGGTTAATAATAACTCTAATTAAAATAGAAAATATTTATTCCTCAATGTGAATAAACTATTTTTTAGTTATTCAATATTTATATTCAAGGATATTCTCTTGAGAATTCCCAATTTGTTGGAACTATATTGAATATAAATATGATTTTAGTCAAACATTATACTATCAAAGAAAATGATAGGCATTAAATTCTAGGACACCAAATTTGGACTTAAATTGTAATAATTAACATAATTTTCAATAGTTTTAGTTCAAAATTAGATATGTATCAAAATCATAGAAGATTATAGTAAAGTGATAAATATTATCCGACAAGCAACTTGATATTGCTATGTTTCAGTTTTAATTTTCAAGTATTTAAAACTTGTCGTAGAGAACATTTGTAATTTGTAAAGAAATCTATAAATTTTTTGTCGAAGAGCAATCTCTTGTTTCTTGTTATGAATTATGGTGTTTTTATGAGTTATATCTTTAGAAAAGAAAAGTTGTGACGATTGAAAATTATTTTTCTCTAATTTAATTGGTTGATTTGAATCATATAAGGTGGATATATGTATATATATATTATAAATTTTTTGTGATCATCAATTTCAAAATAAAATGACTGAAAATTTTCATGGACGTCCATAAAACGTTAGCGATAGACCCAGTTCATCCCGCGGGGAAAACGAGCACATTTTCAAGTTCAAATGAGCCTCAAAGCATGTAAACGCCGATTTTGACAATTTTTATGTGTTGTAGCCCTTGAATTTTTTGTGATCGTCAATTCTCAAAATTAAATGGTCAAAATTTTTCATGGACATCCAATAAGACGTTAGCAATGTACCAAGTTCATTCCGCGGGGAAAATGGGTGCAATTTCAAATTCAAATGAGCCCCAAAGAAGGTAAATGCAAATTTTGTCAATTTTCATGTACTATAGTCCATGATTTTTTTTATGATCGTCAATTCGTGAAACAAAATGGCAAAATCTTTCATGGGCGTCTATTAGGATGTTAGCAATATATCTAGTTAAACCCGCGGAGAAAACAAGCGCATTTTCAAGTTCAAACAAGCCTCAAAGCAGGAAAAATTGAAGCATTTTCAAGTTCAAACGAGCTCCCACGGACATAAACGCAGACTTTGCCGACTTTCGTGTGCTATAGTCCATGAAATTTTTGTGATCCGAAATTCCCCAAACAAAATGGCAGAAATTTTTCATGGATGTCCATTAAGACGTTTGCAATGTATCCAGTTCATCTCGCAGGGAAAATGAGAGCATTATCAAGTTCAAACAAGCCACAAGGCAGGTAAACGCAAATTTTGCCGATTTTCGTGTACTATAGTCCATGGAATTTTTGTGATCCGGAATTCCCAAAACAAAATGGCAGAAACTTTTCATGGACATCCGTTAAGACGTTTGCAATGTATCCAGTTCATCTCGCAGGGAAAATAGGAGCATTTTCAAGTACAAACGAGCCCCAAGGCAGATAAATGTAGATTTTATCGATTTTCGTGTGCTATAGTCCATGGAATTTTTGTGATCCAGAATTCCCAAAACAAAATGGCAGAAGTTTTTCATGGACGTCCGTTAAGACGTTTGCAATGTATCCAATTCATCTCGCATGGAAAATAGGAGCATTTTCAAGTTCAAACGAGCCCTAAGGCATGTAAACGCAGATTTTACCGATTTTCGTGTGCTATAGTCCATGGAATTTTTGTGATCCAGAATTCCCAAAATAAAATGGCAGAAATTTTTCATGGCCGTCCGTTAATACGTTTGCAATGTATCCAGTTCATCTCGCAGGGAAAATAGGAGCATTTTCTAGTTCAAACGAGCCCCAAGGCAGGTAAACGCATTTTTTGCTGATTTTCGTGTGCTATAGTCCATGGAATTTTTGTGATCCGAAATTCCCAAAACAAAATGGCAGAAATTTTTCATGGACGTCTGTTAAGATGTTTGCAATGTATCCAGTTCATCTCGCAGAGAAAATAGGAGCATTTTCAAGTACAAACGAGCCCCAAGGCAGGTAAATGCAGATTTTGTCGATTTTTGTGTGCTATAGTCCTTGGAATTTTTGTGATCCGGAATTCTCAAAATAAAATGGCAAAAATTTTCATCGACGTCCATTAAGACGTTTGCAATATATCCAGTTCATCTCGCGGGGAAAGTAGGAGCATTTTCAAGTACAAACGATCCCCAAGGCAGGTAAACACAGATTTTGCCAATTTTTATGTGCTATAGTCCATGAAATTTTTGTGATGCGGAATTTCCGAAATAAAATGGTAGAAATTTTTCATGGACGTCCGTTAAGACGTTTGCAATGTATCCAGTTCATCTCACAGGGAAAATAGGAGCATTTTCTAGTTCAAACGAGCCCCCAGGTAGGTAAACGCAGATTTTGCCGATTTTCGTGTGCTATAGTCCATGAAATTTTGTGATCTGGAATTCCCAAAACAAAATGGCAGAAATTTTTCATGGACTTCTGTTAAGATGTTTGCAATGTATCCAGTTCATCTCGCAGGGAAAATAGGAGCATTTTCAAGTTCGAACGAGCTCCAAAGCAGGTAAACGCAGATTTTGCCAATTTTCGTGTGCTACAGTCCATGGAATTTTTGTGATCCGGAATTCCCAAAACAAAATGGCAGAAATTTTTCATGGACGTCTGTTAAGATGTTTGCAATGTATCCAGTTCATCTCGCAGGGAAAATAGGAGCATCTTCAAGTTCAAATGAGCCCCAAACCAGGTAAACGCAGATTTTGCCGATTTTCATGTGCTATAGTCTATCGAATTTTTGTGATCCGGAATTCCCAAAATAAAATGACAGAAACTTTTCATGGACGTCCGTTAAGACATTTGCAATGTATCCAGTTCATCTCGCAGGGAAAATAGGAGCATTTTCATGTTCAAACAATCCCCAAGGCAGGTAAACGTAGATTTTACCGATTTTCGTGTGCTATAGTCCATGAAATTTTTGTGATTCACATTTCATAAACTAAATGGCAAAATTTTTTCATGGAAGTACATTAAGACATTTGCAATGTATATTGTGTGTTCTGTAGGGAAAACAGACGCATTTTCAAGTTCAAATGAGTACCAAACTAGCTAAACACATATTTTACCGATTTTTGTGTGCTATAGTCCATGATAATTTTGTAATCCAAAATTCCTGAAACAAAATGACCAAAAATTTTCATAGATTTCTGTTAAGATGTAAGAAATGTATCTACTTCATCCCGCGAGGAAAACAAGTGCATTTTCAAGTTTAAACGAGTCCAAAAATAGATAAACTCAAAATTTGTCGATATTCGATGGCTATAGTCCATGAAATTTTTTGATTTAGAACTCATGAAATGAAATGACTAAAATTTTTCATTGACATCCGTTAAGACGTTTGCAATGTATCCAGTTCATCTCGCAGGGAAAATAGAAGCATTTCAAGTTCAAACAAGCCCCAAGGCAAATAAATGTAGATTTTGCCGATTTTCGTGTGCTATAGTCCATGAAATTTTGTGATCCAAAATTCCCAAAATAAAATGGCTGAAATTTTTCGTGGACATTCTGTTAAGA